TTTTATGTGCAAAGTCCTGAGCTGAATTTCAAAAGACACAATCTCTACAAGATTCAGCTATCATTAAAAGAAGTAAAGAAGGCTGGGCATGATGGTACATGCTTGTAAATTCCTGCACTCAAGAGGCTGAGGCAGGAGGATTGCCATGAGTTTGAGGCCAGCCTGGACTACACAATGAGTTCAAGACTAGCCTGGACTACACAATGAGACCCTGTCTCAAAAAACAAAAAAAAAACCCAAAGCCCCCAAAGGCCTCATGTGCTCACAGGCCAGGCATAGGGAAGGGTCTTGACTGTTGGGGTGCTGTACCTGTCAGTGGAATAATCTACTGTCAAGTTCAGCAGCTGAGCATGCTGGTGGAAGAAGAGGCCTGGCCACAAAAGGCAAGTCGCTGGGGGAGGGTATTTTCTCCTTCTGCTCCTTCCTGCTCTAGCTCTGCTTCCTGATCACCATGACACAAGCAGCTCTTCTCTGCCCTGGAGCCAGCCAACCATGAACTAAAAACAGGAGACAAAATAAAGCCTCCTCCTATAAGCTGGAGGTGCCGGGTTTGTCCCAGCCATGAGAAAGTGACTGAGACAGCTCCAGCGACTGGAGGGCAGAAACTGGCCAGAAGAAAGCCTTAGTGGGAGCACGGCAGAAGACCCGACACAAACGGCAGAGGGACACCATGTGGCAGTGCAGAGCAGGGAGCGGTATCTGCTGGGTCAGCCACTGCACCTCCAGCATAAGGTCGTGGGGACAGGGTGAGTCCCCTGCCCACCACCCTCTGCATTTGTGGGATTTTTCCAAGTGCATTAGATATACCGCTGCATATCAAATCACTTCACACTTCAGCAGTTTAAAACAGCAAATGTTTATTATATCCCAGCTTCTGTGGGTCAGGAATCCAGGCAGGCACAGCCTAGTTGAGTAGCTATGGTTGAAAGTCTTCCACGAAAGTTCATTTGAGATGCTGAACAGGACAGTTATATGAACTCAACAAGGGCTGGAGGTCTCATCCCCGAGCGGGCACTCATGGCTACTAGCAGAAGACCTCATTTCTCTCCCCTTGGGCTTCATAAGGCTCCCTAAGCCCCCACAGCACGGCAGCTAGTTTTCCAAGGTGGATGATCTCAGAGAGATAGCAAGGGAAACCCTGCAATGTCTTTTACGACTCAGCCTACAAGTCACACTCCTCATTTCCATAATAACCCATCGTCCCTGTCCGCTGGGGTATGCATTTATATGGGAGGATGAATCATTAGAGACCATCTTAGAGGCTGGCTATCACATTAGTTTACTAAAATTTATCAAAATTTAATCACTAGAGTGTGGTGGGCCACGAAGACATGTTTTGTTTACTATTAAATCATCAAAACCTAAAACAGGGAAAGCATGTAATACAGTAGAGACTCAATAAATAGTTTACAAATGAATGAGAGACCATAAAGAAGAGATGGCACTTTGAGGGCTGGATGGAAGCATAAAATCCATCGAATGAAGATTTTAAAACCTTCTCGCTTTTTAATCAAGACCCAGTCATTCCTTTCGTACAAGTATTAGGGAGACCGTAAATATCCCCCATAACCCTACCCTACAAATCAAGGGAACCAAGAGAAGAACATATAAGAATGGAGACAAACTCAGCACTATGAAGCTCAGCGAGACTGGGACGACAGACCTTGAGCACAGGCCTGGCTCAGAGCAGATCCTCTGGCTCCTTCTATAGCTCAGTATGTGTCTGTGTCACACTGTGCTTTCTGAAGATGGCCACCCTTAAATATCTGTCTCATCGGGCGCATATTTCTAAAACTGTCACTGAACTCACACAGAGAGATGGGGCGTGTACTTTTTAAGAATCTGGGTGGGAGCTTGTGATCTCCCCAGCCCACACAGCTCAGCAGAAGTGACGCCATGTGACTTCTGAGACAAGGTCATCAGAAAGAGGCCGCCTCAGCCAACCCGTGCCTCTCTGCGCTCTGGCTCGCCCTGGAAACCAGGCCCCAAATCTCGAGGAAGCACAGATCACAAGGAGGCCACGTGGGATGTTCTTGCTGCGGGTGAGCAACACCGCCAGGCCTGAGAGCCAGGAAACGCTCTGGACTCCAGCCCCAGACACTGCATCTTCATTCAAAGTCCCAGGCCCACACCCTCCTGTGCCCTGTCTCAATTTCTAGCTCACAGAAACCATGAGAGATAACAGAGAATTATAATCATTTTAAACCACCAGGTTTCGGGTCATCTATTATGCAGCGATAGCTAATTAATAAAATACCCTTCTAGAATTTTCTCTAGCTTAAAGGGGAATTTTTAAAAAAGACATTTATTCATATATTCATTCATTCACCTAACTGTGCAACCCAAAATGATATATTTGGGTTTCTCTACAATCCCAAGCTGGACACGCTGGACATGGGGATATGGTGTTTATAAACAGCAAGGATGCATAGGGAACACGAAAACATCTGTTACTTACAAGAGCTACAAGGTCCCACTGTATGAAGTCACAATTCTTCTAAGTTGCCAACCGTAGTTCAGAGACAAGAGGCTGGAGAAAGTGTGAGGTAACAGGCGTGGTGTGGAAGGAACACAAGAGAACCGGAGACTCGGGCCAGAGGACAGGTCCTCATGGTTGCAGTGGGCTGCAAGGAAGGCAGGAGGAAGCAGGGAAGATCACTCCTGTCCATGAATTCTATGCTGTGCTAACATTTCACTTAATACAACAGCCTCAAGAGGAGAGTATTGCTCAATGGTCATCCAATTCTCTTGTTCCAGATAAGGAAACTGAGTCCTGGAAAAACTGGTCATTTGCTTGAGTTACTCCCTCAAGAACCAGAGGCTGGCAAGACGGAATCCAAGCCTAGGCCTTTCTGCTGGGTCCCTGAGCGGTGCTGACTCCAGTGGCTCCAGGCTTAACAAGAAGCGTGCACAGTTCCCCCGGAAATAGTGACTCCGGAGAAACTGGCTCAATTTAAGCCACATGAGACACTCCTAAGACACTCCGTATGCAGCTGCTGCAGACCAGGCCTGTGTTATCTGACACACCTGACGACTGGGGCTGTCAATCTGTGACCCTCACGCCGAGATGAGATTTCTAATCCACTTTAAACAGATAAACAAAAGCTACAACAACTCTAAGGAGGAAGAACAAGTTCCTAAAATGTGACGGTATCAGCTCCCTGGCCTCCTCAGGGATGAGATGAAGTAGATGAAAGCCACCCCCATTGAGCTAGTCTGCACCAGAGCGAGGCCCAAGGGCCAGGGAGCCTGGAGGCATCCACAGTAAGGCTAAGTCAAGACACCACCCAGCTCATTGACAGCCCTGTCAGCACTTGCTGACATATAAGGTGTCCAAAGTTTGCTCGTCACAGCAATTTGCAGGCAATGTAAGCTAAGGTTAAAAGCAGAGCTTTGGGATTTGAAAAGATTTACCAGAGTTGAAGTCTTATGGAAGCTATTTATGCCCTCGGCCAAGTTAATTTCTCTCTCAGCCTCAGTTTCTTCACCTACAGAAGAGTAATAGCAGGAGACGTTGAAGGGAGGGCAGGGGAATGAGGAAAAAATAAGAACCAAGACAGATTATGTAAAGGTACAAATCTCCAGTGAAAAATGTCTTTATATTGTATACCCAAAATATACCAATAAATTAATTCAAAAAAGAGTAATAGCGAACTTACCTCATTGGGGTTAGCAAAGATTAAATGAAATAATGTAGGTTAAATGTCTGACTGGGTATATGCACCATACACTTCATCTGTTTAACAGTGTAAGCATAAAGAAAAATATTCAAAATGTACACTTTTTTTTTTTTAATTTTGTAAGACAGGGTCTCAAATATGTAGTTCAGCCTGGCCTCGAACTCACTATGCAGCCCAGGCTGGTCTTGAACTCATGGCAATCCTCCTGCCTCAGCCTCCCAAGTGCTGGGATTACAGGCATGTGCCCCCACACCCGACTAAATCTAGTTATTAGAAATGGTTACTTTTCTTTTTAAGTTTTTTTTTTTTTTAAAAAAAACGGGGTCTTGCTCTGTAACTCGGGGTGGCCTTGAACTATGTGGTCCAGGCTAGGCTCGAACTCACAGCGACCCTCTTGCCTCAGCTTCCCCAGGGATAGGATTACAAGCATGTGCCACCACCTCAAGCTGCAAAGTTTTATCTTAAAACATCAAAACTCAATTATATTTAAATCAAGAGAGCTGCAATATCCAGGTCACTAAGTGGCGTCCGAACAAACTAAAGACGGTGCCAGGCCGACCGCGGGAAGCTCTCGCGGTGAATTCCACGCACACTCCCTCCTCCCCGCACTGCCACTGGGCCTAGCTCCGTCCTGGGAGCGACCCGGGCCTCCAGGTCAGCCCCCCGCCCCCCGCCAAGCCAGGCTCCGAGGCCCGCCTCCCG